CTTGACGAGTATTTGATGCTCCAGAAAAGTCAAAAACATAATCTGCCGCACTGCGAACTTGATAGTAAAGCTTTCGAATATGTGGAAAGTAATTCCAAATGGATTATTCACCAAGAACATCTACTATTATCCTACTATCTTGTGTCCCTCCTCGTAGAGTTTCTGATTTTATTCGCTGAACATTTTTGCAATTGATGTGACTGTGTGAGTGTAGATTCTGGTGTCATTGAGTAATTAAACGTCTGTCCGAAATACTCTTTCTAACATCTGCACCCACTAACGCTCATCCGAATTAATACAACCATGTCTTCACCTAGATCAACATCTATCACAACGTACCACACACCTACTCATATTTACACAAGTAGTCTCATTCACACACGCCCAAGCATAGTCATACTCAACTAACACCTTATTATGTGAAATGGATATCATTAATGAAAGTGATATGCCATCTATAGTTATGTTATTTTTCACGAAAATAAAAGCTCTCTTCTCACTATTAGGATTTCATATTTATTATGAAAATGCAAAAGGATTTAACGTTTCAACAGTCTGGGTATCAATGTCGGCCAATGCCAGTGAGTTGCATTTTTTCAGCGACGATAGGTGTCCTTCCTTAACTGCTATAGTAATAGTAACTGGCAATGCATTCAATGTTTCATAGGCTTTAATGCCAGAGATTTCAGAGTCAGTATTTCAGTGTTAACACCAAAACTGCAAAGGTTACTTCAATTTGCCTCATCACGGTTCTATTTTCGCTACTCTTTTCATTTCCGCACAACCGGACGGCCTTTATGCACGACATGAAAGGGCTGCGTCCATTGAAGCTGATTCTCCAATCCCGTATCTCGCCCCTTTACGATATGATTGTTTATTGACATAGAAATCCATTATGATGGCATGTGTTCCTTCAGGTAAAAATGGTATTATTGCTGAAACACCACCACATGGTGTGATTAATATAGTTGTCTTGTATAATTCATGCATTTGTTGAGTAAATTTATATTTAGTCCAGTCAATAACATCAAGCCGTATCTTCGGATATGTCAAATGTATAAAGTGTTTAACTTCAACAAGATTTGCAATTGCCCGTAAGCTACGACGTAATGCTCGAGTTTTGTTTACAAGTACGATGCGATGACGTGACGGCAAATGAGATACATTGACACCATGATATCGTAGAATAGCAGTGCGATAGTCATATAGAAGTCTTTCTTTTCCATGTGTATATGGTTCTTTGTCAACAGAGAACATCGACTTACTACCACCAGCAACAAGAGTTCGAAAACATACAAGAGGCGAAGAAAAATGATTCAGGTAGTGATCAAGACCATCGACTTTTGCAGCAAAAGCAGGAACTAGATTTTCATACATTTGATAAAATTCGTCTCCTCTTTTTGGAAAATGTTTATATTCAATAATAACAGCATTTCTATCATATTGATTTAACCTAACCATAGCAAAGTAAGTAGATGCTATATCTTCCCAAATAACATGACCAGGATTAAAGGAAACATGCCAATGCATAAAGAGAACATGAACATGTTCTAAATAAGGTACTTGATCAGCGGATGGTAACCATTCTTCAACAATTATTGGTCCCCATGACTGACGCTGAGATGGGCGCGCAATAAGACTAACAAAGCCATGATTATTTATATTAAAATCATATATATGACCTAGTTTAGGGTCAAATAAAATTGGCTTTTTGATGTTGCCTGGCTTACGATAAAACTGAAATACTTTTCTTTCTTTATTATAACAAATGTTTTTGAATGCACATGTTCTCTGATGCCATTCAGATTCATAATTCATATTACCTGTACAAGACCACGTTGACTGAATATTCGAACCTTTCGGCAAATGCACTTCATCTATTTTCTCTTCACGTTGACGTAGTAAGACTTCATTTGAGGAATCCGTATCATCAGAGCTATAAAGACGATAAACTCCCAGTGCAAAATGCCAACAATAAATAGCAAATATCGTAAGAGAACCACACCCAAACCAAACCAAAGCTTTTCTCTTTCGAAATTTCAATTGTATCATTTCCTATTAGATCTTTTGATTTTCTAGGCATATCTAAAACAGATGATTGAGAAGTTACTTGCTACAGTGTTTTTCATCGATCTTATGTCTTGTAAAAGATTATATACTGAAAGGTATAAAAAGCAAAGATAGATGAGTGGAGAATTGGCTTTCTGTTAAAACAGTAAGCACTAACGGTAGTACAACGGTATGCAACTGATGAATTTAGTAAAATAATTATTTTCTATTTGAAGTGGCATAGATAAAGAGTATTTGACTTGCACTTTAAAAAATATACTTTTACTTTTACTCTTACTTTAAAAAGTAGGAAAAATACAAGTGCAAATACTTTCTTTCGAACTCTGATAAAATAGAACCTATGGTTTGACTATGGTACTAGATGGTGTACGTGTAGGGCTGCTTACAAGCACAAGAGTACAAACGGAGCCACGACCTAAGGCACAATTACTTCGGCATCCACATCCACACCCACACCCCAACACTCAACGCCCCCCACACTCACAACCCCCCCGCGCCCACTTACACTTGTACTCGCACTCATATCTATACTCCACACAGCTGGTATACTAACAACCATGCAAATCTTTTAGCTGGGTTTTCAGCGCGTATGACGTGTTTTGGCGCTAGTTTAGCGGATATTTTTCTTGACCCCATTACAATTGAACTGTATATAATCGGGGTTTTAGAGTTCGTTTGAAAGTGGAAAAAGAAGAAAATGATAGTGGCGAACGGCAGTTTATCTATCGGTATTGCCAAATAGTAGTGAACGTGAGTTTAGTTGCATAAGAATACTTTCACTATTCATTAATTCTATTTAAGATTTCGATGGTGCCCGTCTAGCTTTTGTCAAGGGGGTTTCTTGCGGCTGGGATTACAGCCAAACAGATAGTATCGATATTCTGCTCTTGTTTAATCAATTTTTTCAGAGTATGTGTTTCGACTGGAGTGTGAGAGTCAAACTTGTGTGTAGGTATGGTTGTGAGTTTGGCTATAGATGCTTGTAGCTGTGGGAGGGCACGGATGCACGGTCTTGATATGATGATGTGGTATATGTATGCTATATGCATGTGTGTACAGTTGTGAGCCTGTGATTTTCGGCAGCTGTGAATGCTTGGTTGGTGTAGATATGAGATTTTGGCGTGCTGGTCTGTGTTTAAATTTTCGAGTTTGTTGTGATCGAAGATGTGGAGTATAATCAAGGGTTGGATACTAGTGCAACTTTTGGTATGTGCGCGATTGTTCGTGTGGGTGTAGATGTAGAGGTTGGTTGGTGCTATCGCGTTAGTATGGATTGTGTAGATTGTGTTGATATTATTGTGAACATTGGTGTATATGTATGAGAGTGCTTTATTGAACTGATGACAAGAAGAATCAGACAGACATACACATCCTCATGCACAACAACACCGACACGTGCATCAACATTTACACTCGGATTCACACTTAATGCGTACATTTGATATAAATATCGTTTTGGGGCTAAAAAGTAATATATTATACTGAAATACATGAACATTTAGTCGAGCGTGAAATGAGTTATAACCATGAGCGTTACTTGACGTTTATGATGATTTTGTCGAATGAACTAGGATCGATAAGGCTATTTTTCTGCCCCCAACAAAATTGACTTTTTTTTATCGATTCACAGTCAAACAGGATGCCTGATGATATTCCAGGGGTCAGATTTTGAAAAACTAACCAAACGGTTTTTGGGACCTGGGGTCCCACAGGGATCTCTGGGAAACTTTTTATCCTTGGTTTCGTTGACATGTATGTTTGTTGATAGAGTCCAATGTGCTGATTTAGAATATCAGTATATGAAGTCCTCAAAGGTTTTTAAAAGGCAAGAAGCGCAATCCTTTTGCAAGTACTTCTTAAGCTCAAGATTCAGTTTTCAGGCTATGTATCTTCTCTAAAGATAAATCTAACATCATGAAAAACTATTAGTAATAATTAAATCAAGGTTGTTTAGTCGAATAAGAAGTATAAAAGTTCCTTAGCCATATGATCAGGTATAAAAATTTGGATTACCGACCCAAAAATCCATTTTTTACGTTCTCTAATGAAAATGGGAGTTTTAAAGCCCCATCATAGAAGACTAGAAGCAATATGAAATTTGATCTGAGTACATTATTTTCAATGCTCTATGCGATAATGAATTCAAACAGCCAGAAAAAAACGGTTCTTCGTGGTTTTTGAGAGTTTTCTGGAAAACCTTCCCAGAACCTGAGGAGTTTCGGTAGAAACAAAGTTCACCATTGTGTTCAGCATGTCAAATAACCTTTGTCTCAGCCCTGTAACACACTAAGAGTATTTTTGCTATGCCGAATCGAGGCATGATTTCTGTGATTAGCTGTATAGATGACATAATCCGACTGATAGCAATTAAGAAGTCAAAAAGTAGTTATATTGTCACTTAAACAAAGCTTAGAACTTTAGAGAGTAGGTTATTTGATATACTGAACATGATAGTGAACTTTGTTTCTACCGAAACCCCTCAGGTTCTCGAAAGGTTTTCCAGAAAACCTCAAAAACCACGAAGAACCGTTTTTGTCTGGTTGTTTGAGTTCATTATCGCATAGAGCATTGAAAATAACGTACTCAGATCAAATTTCATATTGCTTCTAGTCTTCTATGATGGGGCTTTAAAACTCCCATTTTCATTAGAGAACGTAAAAAATGGATTTTTGGGCCGGTAATCCAAACTTTTATGCCTGATCATATGGCTAAGGAACTTTTATACTTCTTATTCGACTAAACAGCCTTGATTTAATTATTACTAATCGTTTTTCATGATGTTAGACTTATCTTTAGAGAAGATACATAGCCTGAAAACTGAATCGTGAGCTTAAGGAGTACTTCCAAAAGGATTGCGCTTCTCGCCTTTTAAAAGCCTTTGAGGACTTCATATACTGATATTCTAAATCAGCACATTGGACTCTATCAACAAACATACATGTCAACGAAACCAAGGATAAAAAGTTTCCCAGAGATCCCTGTGGGACCCCATGTCCCAAAAACCGTTTGGTCAGTTTTTCAAAATCTGGCCCCTGGAATAGCCTCAGGCATCATGTTTGACTGTGAATCGATAAAAAAAAGTTAATTTTGTTGGGGGCAGAAAAATAGCCTTATCGGCGTTAGTCCTATAGTCAGATGGCCGCAACAATTTTTTTAGCTAGAGATCTATCTAGAAAATAAAGGTGATGCTGAGTAACACTTTGTAATCGGTCAAAATAACTGCTTTGGACAATCCAATTTCTTAATTTCTTATTAA